GTTGCAGAGAGCAGCACATGAAAGCGGTGTGGTTTCATGAGACCCAAACTCTCCATCTCAACACAGATGTGCTGGCGCTCCCGACTGCTCACTGCTTTGTTTCTGGTTATAAAAAGCGCTGGAAGGAGGGGTTACGACTGATCTAAAGCAGTGTTTCTCAACCAGGGGTCCGTGGACCCCTAGTGGTCCTTGACGTAAGGCCAGGGTGTCCGTATAAATTATGAATTTTTGTATAAATGTTGTATATTTTGACAAAGAAAAATCCAATATAGCTGATGATATGGCCAAATACTGGACAAGTCAGCTAACCTGCATTATACTTGACTGTATTTGGTCCTCACAAAGACACAAATGATACATAGATGAGTCAGTTTTGTTCTGGGGGTCCTTGAGGATGGTTCTGAATTGGACTGGGGTTAGGGTTAGGGTTAGGGTTAGGCCAAAAGGTTGAGATTCACTGGTGTAGAGCAGAGTGCTGTGTTGTGTTGGTTGTGCTCTTCATGGCCGCGAGCAGCAGGTGGTCGGAGCGCGTCTGCACGCGTTGTGTCGCGCAGCTCCCCGGAGCGCCGGGTGTCTGCAGCACATGGCGCAGCTCAGGCTGCTGTCTGTCCCAGCTGGGCCTGCTGCTCTCTTTACTGGAGGCCAGGACGATCCCCTTTTACATATCTGGAACTATTCAATACTATATCCATCCCTAAGGTCGCAAAACTCTGGACTTTTGGTAGTACCTAGGATAGCAAAGTCCACTAAAGGAGGTAGAGCTTTTTCGCATTTGGCTCCCAAACTCTGGAATAGCCTTCCTGATAACGTTCGGGGTTCAGACACACTCTCTCTGTTTAAATCTAGATTAAAGACACATCTCTTTGGCCAAGCATTCAAATAATGCATCTCATAATCTTTTACTGCAGTTATATCTGATCAAATGTGCATTATTATTCTTTAGCTTGGGTTAAACTAATCAATTTTGCTTGGTTGGAACAGCAGCTACGCTAATTATGTGTCTATTTGTTTCTCTGTTTCTGCTGGGAATGACATCCCGTGGTATCTAGGATTTACACAAGCTTCAGTCTGGGTCCAGAACACCTGAGAAGAGATGATGCCAACCCCTCAGAGGACCTCAGATGATGCCAACCCTGAAACAACATACAGAACTACCAAGTTTAATAGCATCATATAATAATTGCTGTTAATAGTGTTCATCGTTTGTTTGATTACGTCTTTAATTGATTTTTCCATACATTTCTGCCATATGTACATTAACTGACAGTCACCACTGATAAGCTACCACTAAATATTGTAGAAACTTAATTTGCTGTAAAGTTGCTTTGCAACGATTTGTATAGTAAAAAGCGCTGTACAAATAAACTTGAATTGAATTGAATATTCATTTTTTTATGTTTAGAGTCTTACTGTATTTGTTTCATTTGATAATTCACCTTTCTGTACAGTTTCTAAATATCATGATATCATGTCCTTGTTCTCAATACCCATCCATATTGTCCAGGGCCCTGGTGAATTTTAGTGATGACCCTGAAAAATAGACATAATAGCAATTCTGAGTATTCACGTTTTACTCTGCAAATACAATAGTCTAAGTACTTGAAAATGACTTGCCTTTAAGTACACAAATAACTCGTTTCAGAGTCGGATTTTCGGCTGTATATTGTAGTACTGTTTTAATTTGCAAATCCTTTATAACTGGAAACCAGCATTTCAGAGACTTTAACGTGTTTTTATAATTAAGAATTCTGATCGTGCAGTTTTCTATTACTTGAACCCTATAGAATTTGACATATTTTAGAGTTGGAGTTCATTTGTTTATAAAGCACATTTCTGATGCAACTGGAAGCTTGTTTCTGCAATGGAATAAATAAAAAGATGACGTTTTATTTCACAAAATTTGACTTTTTTTTTCTTCTTGCAATTGTGACTTACAATTTAAACTTTTCTTTTCAGAATAGCACGAAAAAAGTCCGAATTGTGAGATAAACAAGTGGCATTTATTTGACAAGGATAACACAAGCATCTTTTTAAAGCTAAAAAGCTATTAATTATTTAATAAATGTATTATTTGATTATGTATTAAAAACATACATTTTAAAGTAAAATGAGTCAAATGTAAAAAGTATTCACCTGTATTAATATTTAAGATTATATAATAATAAATAGTTATTAAGATTAAATATTTGATATCTGACCAAATGATGGCCAAAGTATTGTGACACTTTGTTGTCAAACATTAGTGTATCATGTTCATAGTTAATGTGGCTCTCCGTACCTATGTGAACTTGAGGAGAACTGACTTTATGCATCCACTAAAATCATGTTGACACCAGCTGGTTAAACGTTATTGGACAAATGGCTTAGAAACATGAAGTTAGCTCTGAGAAAAGCTGCAGCATTTGTTGACCGTTTATTCAATGTTTTGTTGTTTAATGAAATGACATTGCATTTGTGACTTAAGACTGTGTGGCTGGTTTCCAAATCCTTGAAATCTCTTTATCTCAAGTTGTCTTGCTGTACATTCACTGTTATTAACCCTGTTTTAGCCTCTTTTGTCCTGTTCTTTTCTAGTAACCCTTAGCTGGCAGTTTGGTGCTTGTGTGCGGTTCCGGCTGCTCTCTCTCTCTCTCTGTGTGTGTGTGTGTGTGTGTGTGTACTGTTGGTGTCAGCATTCTGTGTGTGGAAAAAAGTTGCGCAGGCGGGTTTCTACACTGTCAAATCGACCTCCCCTCGTTGGCTTACACCCGGGTTTAGGTTCACAAAAGAGGGGATCACTGCTCCACAAACCACCAGCATGGAGTGGATTACAAACAGGACGCACACACACTCCCTGCTCCCCTGACCTCTCTAAGGCAATGCTGACCTTGATCTAGTCCGAGAAGTTGAACTTTCACTCTGACCTGCAAGAGCTCTGCCCCAGAAGTGTGTTGAGACGAATGTTGAGAGGCTGCAGATGTATTCAAACATCATTGTTTACACATTTTCTTCACAACTGATCATTGACCTTGTGTGACTCTCACGAACACTCAAGAACATGTCCACGTCAAATTTCACCACAAATCAAACTTGTGAAATTGTGTTTTAATTTAGAGAAATACACACATCTAACACATTCTCTTCTAATGACACAAAATTAAATGTTTAAGTATTTATGCATAATAGTAGTATTATCATGGTGGCAGTGTTGTTATTGTTAACTAAAACTATTTCAGTAACTGAAATACAGAAATATGAAACAATAGATGAAAACCTAAACTTAAAAAAAAAAATGAAACTAATTGACACAAAATGAAGTTGAAATACTAAAATGACTCAAACTGAAATAAAAAATAAAGATATATAGAAATATCTCAAATATGAAAGCTAATAAAAAGAATAAAAAAGCACATTACAAAATTAATATAACAAACTAAAATTATAATTAAAATTATTAAAGAAAAAAAAATCAAAATAATTTTTCTCAATCACTTTGGCTCAGCTCTCATAAGTTCAGATATCTGAACAATTAGATTTATGTTCGCACCAGATTTGAATTTCTTATTTATGCAAATTGTTGTATTTTTATCTATTTATTATTTTTTTGTTTGTTTGTTTTTGTTTTTTGCATGTGCAAAATTTGAATATTCTTTTACGTTAATCACCAGTAGGACAGAACACAAACGTTTCGGCTGAAAGCCTTCTTCAGTGTGTTTTTTTTTGGTGCGTCATGGTTTTATATACTAAGTCATTTAATAGATTGTCGCACCAAAATAAAATATTAAGTGACAAAAGAACGCAGTGCAAATGGCTTTGTGGTATAAGTTAATAGAAATAAAACACATTTCAGTGAAGCTCCATCAGCCTCATTTGATCTGATGAATTAGACTGAATTGAACTAAAACCCCTCTCAGTCTAAAGGCCAACAGAAGGTCCTGATTGCATGTTTAGCTCATCTGAAACAGGCCACTTTAAAGAGCCGTCTAGCATCATAATAGGTGTCATGGCAACTGAATCAGGCCAATCGGGCTGTCGCCATGGCGATGATCACAGTACTTCACAGGCAGGATGATGAAAGGAAAGAAACGGTGGATAAAATATGTGTGCGCTTAGTGTTTGCATTGGTTTATAATTGAAGGATGTTGGCATTGAAACCCAACAGTGGCAGATAATGATAAACCGAAAAACCTCAGTGTGTCTTAGTGGTCTCACAGTTTAGGTTGCTGTCTTTCGAGCAGTGAGCGACCTGTTGCATCTAGCGACTGCTGCCAAGGGTTGTTGTTGTTATAGTGAATTAAAGCTCGACATGTCCAATGTGTTTGTGATCATGCTGTGGTGAGGTTTGCAAGCGTGTAAGCAGTGCTAAGAGTGTAGCGGGACGGAGGGAGGCGGTGATCCCTTTGTGCCGGGCCTCCTGTAGTCTCCTCCACTGGAATTAATTAGGCTCTTTCTGACAGAAGACACCCTTCAGTCCAGCCCATGTCCTCAAACACACACTAACATCAGCACAGACAGACGGACTATAAAACATCACACCTGGAATGGCAATAAAAGAGGTAAGGACTAATATAACAGACACTGAATCCAGTGTGAATGATCAGGTTTTAGGGTGAGATTATGATGAAATGCCAGTCAGTTGATTTAAGTTTAATGTCTTTGTAATAAATGGATTTTATGGTGATGTTGCATCTGGATTTCAAAAAGATTTATTGATTTGTTTGTTTCGTATCATCGCAAAATGTAAACTAAATTATCGTCCAGCTTTAATCTGTTAAATGTGACTATATGAGACTATGAAGATATTAAGATTATAATACATGATAAACAGTAACATAATGTTATTAAAAACGATTAATTATAATGTTTCGAACTGTAATGTTTGCGTCCGTTTTTTGTAGTATCTGTGTAAACGTAAGTAAATGTAAAAACATATTTAAACAGTATGCCATTTCTAACAATTATGGTAGTTGGAAGTTTATTTCAAAATAGTTTGCATCAAGATATTGTCATTGTATCTTAAATTGAAATGTTTTAACTAAAAAGGTTTAGGTTTTGCTCTGTGGGCGTTTTGAGAATGTTGATTTACTTTGCAACATTTTTTAATACAAATATTTACTGTATCTAATAAGTCGTTTTTTTTTTTTTGTACAAAAATATGTAAATATGATATAAAAAGAAATACATAAACATGGGTGTTTGTGTATTATTCATGTAAATGAGCATAAACTGTTCGCTGGCTTTTGAAGATGTTTCATAGTCCTTAAAGCAGTGAATTAGTCACAGGTTTAATGCCAGTTATTTCTTTTCTATCTCTTCTGTCGACTCACACCAGGAGCTGAGGAGCCGTCAGTTCTGGCAGGGGATTCTGGCAGAAACTCTTGGCTCTCTGGTCTTTGTATCTGCTGTGTTGGGCTCTTTAGTGCCGGGGCCGGACGGGGCCTCCCCGGGGCCCATTTACCCCGCACTGGGTGCTGGTATGGCAACTGTGGTTCTGGGATATTGCTTTGGTGAAATCAGTGGGGCTCAGGTAAAGAAATGTGATTTCTTTCTTTCTTTGTTCTTCTAACTCAACTGGTAGATCATAGTGTTAATAATCAATCTTATGCGTTCAATTCCCAGGAAACACAAAACTGTATAATGATACCTTGAATGCACAGTTTGTCGCTTTGGATAAAAGCATCTGCAAAATAAATGCGAAGAATTGTTTAAAGAATTACTGAAAGTGCAAGAGAATGAATGAGCAAGTAAAAACATGTCGGATGGTTAGTTTAAAGCGTAATTAAGTGTTCTGTTGTTGTTAGGTGAATCCTGCGGTGACTGTGGCCCTGTTGGCCATGCGTAAGGTGGATGTGTTGAGGGCTGTGGTTTATCTGCTCGCTCAGTGTTTGGGTGGGATCCTCGCAGCTGGCCTCATGTACCTCTCTCTGCCCCTGAAGTCCACAGCACAGAACTTCATCAACAAGGTTCAGAGGTTTTCACCGCATTGGACATGCTCTGATCAACATACTCATTTTTTTCACACTGAAATTTCCCGCGGATTTTAATGCTATTAACCATAGGCAGAGGAGCATGTGTAAGGCTGGGGCCTAAGCAGGCTTAGCCTTCCCCTGGCCACGGGGACTTGGGGCAAAAATGCCACTAAATTGGACAAAAATGTCCCTGCACAAACAAGTAAAATCTATTACGTCTGTTGCTAACAAAGTGAATATGAATAGACAGTCTCGATTGCGGCATTAAATTAAGATCTGTTCATGTTGCACCATATTTCATTTTAGGCGTTTTTACAGTGTTATAAGAGATTCATTTAACAGTGTATACAGCTTCAGTGATTATAACCATAGTTTTTTTTTTTTTTTTTAGAGTGCTTAAATTCGCGATAGATCAATGTTAGTGATAATGTCACTTTCTATAGCCTATATAATTTATTCGCTGTTTGAATAATCGTGGAAAGGAAACGTTTAAAATTTTTTCAACATTTTATTAAATTGTAATCACGTTAAATACAAATTCAGTCCCATTAAACTTTTTTTTTTTAGCCTACATGACACCCATGTCTGGTCCTTGCCTAAAAAGACAGGTTTACGATGTTTAATACATTAGGCTGCTTTTATAGCCTTACCCTGGAGTTGGTTCACCCTCCGCCTATGCTATTAACCCTATAAAGCCTACTATTTCATATTTCATACACACATTTCTAAGGCCTCTAAATTAGCAAACCTGTTGCACACAATCTACTGCATCCCTCTGTTACACTTTATTTTGATAGTCTACTTCAGACAGTCTGCTAACTATAAGTAACTAGTACATGTCAACTAGCGGTCATTAGAGCATTAGTAGGCTGTCTGCTTAATATCTGCTAACACTTAACAGACATTCTACTGACTATAAGTAACTTTGCAAATGCATGTCAACTTATTCTACTAACCCTAACCCTAACCCTAACCCTAACCCTAACCTAGCAGTCTACTATTCTGTAATGAGAGTTAGTTGACATGTAGTTGCAAAATTACTACAGTTAGTAGAATGTCTCAAGTGGACTATCAGAATAAAGTGAAACCATGCCTTATGTCGTCTGCTTGATAGTTTATACATTTTTTAATCAAGTAAAAGTCATTTTATTATAATTGAAAAAATTGTCTCCCTTCAGGTTGTGGTTCACATGTCTTTTTGACTTTAAAGTAAGCATAAGAATAACTTTTATATTATTATTAATATTTAAAGAGGAACACTTAATGAACTGAAGCAACTTAGGTTTACTTAATTATCCAAATGCATTTTTTTTATTTTTATAAAAATGTAAAAATGTGAGCATCAAATATGATATATTAGGCTTTTGAGGACGTTTATTGTTCATATCTCAGTCATCATTGTATTGCATTACATTATGTGTTTTGCCTCACAATAAAAACTACAGAGCTTTGATCATGAAACTAAGCATCTAAATATCTTAATATGACATATTATTGAGAGATATAGTGTGACAACTGATATTTATATGTATTTTATGTAAGTAGTCTGTTGTACTGTTATGAAGATCTCACTGATTTACATTACAAGCTACCAGAGTTTCATCTTACTTTTTGGCCATTTAAATATCAGCATCTGCACCAAACTGCATAATTTCATTCATTTTGGACCTCTGAATAAAATATAGGTGTTTTTTCCGCCTCAAGTATGAGCTCCATATTCTATAGCATACTATATGAGCCATAAAAGCCTGATGTATCAAATATGATACAAAACATAAAACACATATGCAAACTTAAAAAAATAAAATATATCCCATTACGCAAATAGATTTGTCTGACTATTATTTCATATGTTTGTATAATATATTTAATATATTTACAGTGCTAATAATTACAGTATGGAAAGAGTTAGAACTGTGTTTGTTGGACGAGTATGTTGTTGCAGCACTAAATCTCCTACTGTTTTAAATAGAAATTAAGCAATTTCTAAAAAATTAGATACAGGTTTGTGTTGAGAATTATGCTCTTTAGGGTTCTTTTCCAGTTCATAGAGATACAGAGATGACACTCAATGTTAACATCAATCAATCAATCAATCAATCAATCAATCAATCAATCAATCAATCAATCCTTCTCATATCCTTCTCTGAAGGTCCCAGTGGATATGAACGCAGGTCAAGCTCTTGGGATGGAGATGCTTGCCACGTTTCTCCTGGGGTTCACTGTATTTTCTGTGGAAGATCAACGCAGGAGAGAAATAAATGAACCAGGGAATTTGGCCATTGGATTTGCTGTGACCACTGCCATCTTTATCGCTGTAAGTGTGTGCAAATATGTGAGTGCTCTGGATGTGGAATGTAAACTTGCTGATATGTTTTGATGTGTCCATGTTTGGTGTACACTGCTATATTATCATTTTACTATTACTGTTATTTTTGCATAATATACCTCATCAAACTTGTATGGCAGCTTCTGCTGCAATCTGCATTTATGTAACTGGCAAATGTTTGTATCCAAAGTGACTTACAATATATTCGAGCTATTTATTTTATTACTAAACTACCAGTCAAAAGTTCAGAGTCAGAAAGATTTTCTTTTACTATAGAAATTAAAACCTTTATTCAGCAAGTATACATTAATGTATACAACTTTACATTAAATTGATTGAATTACAGTAAAGACATTTACAATGTTACAAAAAAATTCTGTTTCAAATAAATGTTGTTGTTATGAACTTTACCTGAAAATAAAACAATTTATCTTGGTTTCTACAATAATATTAAGCAGCACATCTAGCATATTGCTAGTGCTTTACAGTCGAGCTAAAGGAACACTGAATGTAGTGTCCTTTTGTCAGCAAATTTTAATTAGATTTAATCAGATTATTTTTACACAAATAATGATCCCTTTATTCTGTCCTTCCTCTCCATGTATTATTGCAAATACACATAATGATAATAATTAATATTTTTTGTGTGTGTGGATTTAGGGGAGGTTTTCTGGTGCCAGCCTGAACCCAGCTCGCTCTCTTGGTCCCGCTATAATCCTTGGATATTGGGAACATCACTGGGTAAGCAAAGCTAAACTATTTTAGGCAGCTCTTTTGATTCATTTTTGTAAAATTTTACATTTCTATGTAGCTAATTAGTACGTTTATGTGGACCCTTTTCACAGACATTGCTGCTGCATTACTTTTAAAAGTAACTTTCCCCAACATTGTTCTTTCATGGTCTCCCATGTATTTTAAAAGGAGTTTACCCTGTGGTTTACTTCTGCAGTCCAAACTATAGAAATCGGAAAAGAGTTAATAGCATTGCTAGCACACAAGTAATGAGATGAATATCGATGTGAAAGGTTATTTTTTGTTTTTACCAGTTTTTAAAATGCTGTGTATCTATGCTTTCTGTTGTTTTCAGGTCTACTGGATTGGTCCAATATTAGGTGCAGTCCTGGCTGGAGTGTCTCATGAGTTCATCTTTGCCCCCAGTGCGTCCAGACAGAAGCTGGTGGCATGTTTGACCTGCAAGGACATTGAGATTGTGGAGACGGCCAGCGTGTCTCGATCGTCCCTGTCCACTGTCACACAGAGCGCCATGAGAAACAAACAAAGCAACAAACTGGAGCACAGCTAAGCTCACATTCAGCAGATTAAGAATGCAGGTTTTTACATTTAGTCACAAACAACCAATCAATGGCTCTTATTCATGAAACAGAACGAATCTGTGTAGATTCTTCATAACCATTCTTACATGAATTGCACCATGCAAGTAGAGATAGAAGAATTTTTTTTTTTTAAGATGAACAGACTGTTGAATATTTAGACAGAATATTAAAAATAGAAAAGAAAGTTTGTGTACAACAGTTTTTTTTTTAAAGTAAAGCTTTGATCATGGTGATAATTCAGAAACCTTGGAAATTTGCATATCACATATGATACAGCGTGGTTTAGAGGATCAACCAGCACATTAACATCTAATATTCCATAAAAGTCTATAAATATTCTATAAAAATGTTTTCATATTAGAATGTTCTGTTGTGGATCAGAAGTACTGCCTAGTACTGTATTAAGCTGAATGCTGTGTGTACAAAACCCTCAGCTTGCACATGGGTAGATATAAAAGTGCCAAACATATGCCTATGTGGCTTGAGCTTGCTATTATGGTTCAGTAATATTACATACTTTTTCCTAAATCCACTGTTAACCAAATAACTGCAGAATTTCGGTGTGAATTTCATTTCATGGCTATAGTTGAATGTGTTTAACAGCTTTTAAAGTGTTATATACTGTATGCCAGTGTGTTTGTTGATAGTGTTATTACATCTTTTGTTGAATTAAATATTTGGAGCAAACTTTTGACTTTCAGATTTATGAATAATGGGATTATTAAACTCTTCCTGTACTTAAATCATATCAAACTATAATCTTGTGTAAATTATTTCAGACAGGAGTACAAGCACACCCGCACATAGGCTATACAATAACCTCTGGTTTTTATTTCCTTACATAACACAAAAATGTTTTCTCACGTTTAGAATGCTATGCTACAAATTATTCTGATCCACATTTCTACTTGTATAATTGTAGCAGAATGTAATAAACTCTAATATTACATAGTTTTGCTTCCCTGTGTTCTTATAGAAAGCATGTTGAACATGCTAATGCACAATGTTCAGTGGCAATATTCTCATATCATCCCTTTTTATGCATATAAATTTGCAAACGCACATTCAAGTTCACAAATGCACACAGACAGTATGTTGTGTTTGGCATTCATGCTAGAATATTCATGCAGAAATCATACATTGCAGCTATTAATAACACACACATGCACTTAAACAATGAAGAACATCCACACAGTGCCAGCCAGCATTTTGTTTTGTTCAGCATGCATGTGTATGAGTGTGAGTGTGTCTGTAAGTGAGGGAGTAAAACAGATGAGATCAGCGATCCTAATTCACCATCAGCTCCTCTAACAGAGGGATTTTCCAGGGCTTTATCCGGCTATGAGGCCCCCACCCCTCCACAACTGATCTGCTCCGCACACAATACAAACCTCTGCCTAATCACTTCTGCCCTGAACAAATCAGAACCACCAACAGCACTCAATCATATATCCATGAACCACACTGCATAGATTAAAAAAATAATAATAAATAAATATAAAATAAAATAGAGACAGACAGACAGACAGACAGACAGATACATAGATAGATAGATAGATTACGCTGGTAAACAATGTTACTCTTTTTCGTGACCATGAAGATTTAAGGTTTCAGGTTTTAAAACTTGACTGATGAGTGTGAGCCAGACTGCAGCTCAAACCCGAGAGACAGATAAGAGATGTTTTCACATGTTAGCTTCATGCTCTGAGCAACAATGGCTTTCCTGTGCTCAGGGATTTCGCTGCATGTATCTGAACACTGTTGGATCTGTCATATCTGTCAGCGCAGGGCCTCTCTTGAGCCGCGGGATCGGATGGACATTGTGCATGTGCAGATGCGTGGCATTATTCTGAGGATGTGCGTTGTGTGTGTTTTCTGCCTGTGTGTGAGTTCAAGTCAGCACTAACTCGCCCGTTAAACCTAAATCCACATTAAGTTCTGATAAAAATCCACAAATTTCCTGATTTTTGTAAGGTTTTAGAAAGCATATTTTAATGAGACATTTCATGACCTCAAATTCTGCCTCACCAAAATCTGATTTGTGGATCTGTTTTGTACTTTAGGCCTAAAAAATATACATCCCCATCACTTTGAGCCCTCCTGTCTTAATCTCACTCTCTTTGAGTTTAATGGAGAGAGAAGTGAGTGGCGTGTGCTTGATATGGGATGCCCCCTTTAGCTTCTGCCTCTCGGGGGGATTATGTCGTCACGCTGGGCCCCGAGGCCATTATAAATGCCCCCTATGGCCCCTTTGTGGTCCGTCAGACCAGCTCTACTAGGTGTGGGCAGGATATGCTCCGTAATCTCTTCTGTGTCGCTCATCTAGAATTAGCCGTGTAGATTTAGCCTTTAGTATCGATGTTCAGGTCTCTCTGACAAAACCCTCCAAATTGTCTGATAACTCCAAATAAGCTTCGTTTTTTTTTTTTATTTTAGTTGGATCTCATAAATCACAATGTGGGAGTTCCGCTCTATGATGTTCTGGCGGGTGGTGTTCGCCGAGTTTTTCGGCACCATGTTCTTCGGGATGGGCGCAGCGCTACGCTGGACCTCCGGGCCGTACCATGTCTTCCACACTGCCCTCTGCTTCGGTTTTGCTGCTACCAATCTCATCCAATCCATCGGCCACATCAGCGGAGGACACATCAATCCAGCCGTCACCTTCGCCTACTTAGTCGGCTCTCAGATGTCCTTTTTCCGAGCTTTCTTCTACATCTGCGCTCAGTGCCTGGGGGCCATGGCAGGAGCCGCGGCCCTTTATGGAGTTACACCCAACAACATGAGAGGCACACTGGCACTTAACACGGTAAGAGTGACCCCAAAAATAATTTTATTTTATTTTGTAAAAAAAATGAATAATTGTTTTTATTTTATAAATCTTAATTGTTATTTATTTAATAAATGTTATTATGATTTTGTATTTATTTATTTATTTATTTATTTGCACATTTTGAGTTCAAATGTGTTTTAATGGAAAATCAATTTATCTAATAAATTTGATGTATTGAAATCTTATTCATTGTATTCAGTACATATATAGAAGCACACAGTACTGCGCTAACAGGCCCCTACAGAACTGTATATCTATGTTGCAGTCTTATAAATCTTTATGAATAACTTTTTGTACCTGTTTATGTCTCTGCAGCTGCAGCCCGGCATGAGTCTCGGCATGGAGACTACAGTGGAGGTGTTTCTCACCTTGCAGTTGGTGGTTTGCGTTTTCGCCGTCACAGATGAGAGGCGAAACGGCCGTCTGGGTTCTGCCGCTCTATCCATTGGCTTCTCTATCACTATGGGCCACCTGATGGGGGTGAGAATGAATATTTTAGTATTAGAATAAACTTTTTTGAGTATTTTAAGTGTGCAGTACACCAAACATGTACCCTGTTTGTCTTTGAATCAGATGTACTACACTGGAGCTGGCATGAACCCAGCTAGATCTTTCGCTCCTGCTGTCATCACGAGGAATTTCATCAACCACTGGGTAAGAAACGCAAAGTAAAGTACTGAAATTACAGGAAAAAAATATTTAGTGACTTTCTTTTTCTCTTCTGACAGGTGTACTGGGTGGGACCTATGATTGGTGGTGCTATGGGTGCCATCCTGTATGATTTCATACTGTTTCCCCGTATGCGGGATCTCTCCGAGCGGCTAGCTACTCTCAAGGGCAGCCGACCCCCAGAGGCCGAGAACCAGCAGGAGACCCGCGGGGAGCCCATCGAGCTGAAGACTCAAACCCTATAAACCTGCTAAGAACCTGTGGACCGAAATCTGGCTCTACCTCACCGGACCGTCTCACCTCAGTTAATAAACTCCCACACTGAGGGTCACACATCCATGCGAAAACCATTAAGGGAGCTGAAATGAGTACAATACTTTGTTTAGTATTCAAGGTTTGTTGCTAATTTCAATGCAGGGCAGGGGGCGGAGCTGAGGCAGGGGTTCAGGTGGGTGTGGGCGAGGTTTAGGGTGTGGGATGGGCTAGAGCTGTTTATTTAGGCATGCTTTTCGCTTTTCATCTGACTTCACTTTCACAATTCATTTTCAATTTCGTATTCTACAACACCAAGATGTGGATGTATGCAACTTAACCAGGGTTTCACACTTTTTTTTTTTTTTCCTTTTTTTTTTTAAATATCGGTGAGAGTTATTGTGGGTGTGCAAGTGAGTGCAAGTGTGTGCACCCCCCCCCACCCCACCCCCCCATTGGTAAAATTAGGAGTAGATGTGGGAGAGGGGTTAGGTTTAGGGGTGGGGTTAGGATTAGGCAATCAGGTAGAGACTTGAATGCGGGGGGTAATAATTTGGCAGGGGGGTCAAAATTGAACACAACACCGTCTTTGCCGCTAGTCTTTTCAATTACTTCTCAAGTTTACAGTGTCTGTGTTGCCTTTCATTAAATCTTGTTTGAGGATAACATCCATGACTGGGTTTTTTCTTCTTTCTTATTTTTACGGTACTCGAAGACACCCCAAAGTGTATTGTTTGCAATGATATTCCATTCACCTTGATGTTCACACAAACCACCCGTGGACTGAGCTGTTTTAAACACAGCCGGTCTTTGCAATTACTTCTCAAGTTTACAGTGTCTGTGTTGCCTTTCATTAAATCTTGTTTGAGGATAACATCCATGACTGGGCAAAAAAAGCTATATGAATCATATCTGAATGCAAATAAATACATGAAAAAGAAGAGGCTCTTTGTATGTACCACATGCACACACGCTACATTTTGCTTAAGAGTATGAATGATGCAGGAACTAATATTAACACCAGATGGCCCTGTACAACAGCTTGTGATCTCAGAACATTCAGCTGCCAGTAGAGTTTTATTATGGCGGGGGTTAATGAGAGATAAAGTCATTTAGGAATAGAAACTGGGAACAAGAAAAATGACCAGTACCTGTTTACAGTAAAACAGAATGGTAAAACCGTTATTACCGGGAGACAAAACACAAACTCAAGTCTCTCTAGGGAAAACGGATCAGAAATATTGATGACTCATCTTGCTCTACAATTTCTTGTCCAATAAAATTCTGTCTATAATGAATGCCCCTCCCCCAATACTTGAGCAGTTTATCAAGTGAAAGGAATTTCCATTTTGTTTTATACTATATAGTAAGAAATTACATATTTTAATGTCGTTTATGTGTAGGCTACTTAGTATTACTATTAACTGATATTTGATGGAGACCCGGTTTCTCACGACACAGCGCCGCCATCTTGAAACGATCAACAAGGAGCGCCTAAAAATGTAAGTCCAAACATTATGTGCACCAGTAACCTTGTGTGTGGACTGCTGAGCATATATTAATCTTAAACAAGTTTTACATGTTTTCACAATCATTTTGTAGAGAACTATTTAGAGTTATAAGTCATGGGGATTGTTTGTTTATGCCACCACCCTACCTGTTCATTAGTCTCCGCCAACTGACGGATCATAAAACTCGGAAAGCCTTTAATAAAACCGATTAACAACTTTACAAACAATAACTACAGTAAATATTAACATAAATACAGTAAATCAAACTAAATGAAAGGACTAAACGGACAGATAGAGATGATATCAAATTAGTTATTGTACATTTGGTAACTCAGAATAAAATCGATATGATTTAATAACACATTTATGATTTGAATAATTTGTTGCTACTTTTAAATGACCATCAATTGAGAAAGATGCCTTTTGTCCACAGCATCTGGCAGTAGGGACTTACAGAAACAGCTTTTAGTAGTATAATATATATTTCTAACTGCGACACCGATTTCCCTAAATATGGTCTGGGTCAGGATCGTAAATATGGTCAAAATCTGCCAGTATTCATTTTCCAACTTGACATGCAGGTGGTGCACAAGAGAAATGCCTATTATCCTGAGTTGTCAGAAAAACAAAAGAACTGCACAATATAATGTGAACGCATGCACAGTGCATAAACGTTTCATCTGCTTGGAGGAGGACTGTTTGTAAAGTCGTTCACAGGTGCTCATTTGGATTATAAGGTTTGAGGCTTCATGCATAAAACTTCCTGTAGTTTCCATAGTGATAGTTTGCCTACTCACAAAAATATAAAAAGACCTAATGCCTTCCATTGCCTTAATTTGCATAGGTTTGTATGCTCGTCCATGAACTCTTGGATTCACTCCAGCTCTTCCTTTGAAGCAGTTGTTAAACTGCCTTCGGTTATTCATTGCAAGCACATGTATACTTCCGTGTCTCTCAATGAATTTGTCTGCAGAAACAAAAGAAGCTCCAAAGAAGAAACACAAACTCAACTGACAAGTTGAAAACATACAAACTGACTATAAATATAATCATATGAACCATATAACAATGCATCAGGGTGGCAAATAAAAGAAACTCTTGATGGGATTCTTTAAGAAAGCAGTAAAACATATACAAACTTAAAAATAACCACATTAGATAAGCTCAGTTTTTGCAAATTGACTTTATTACATGTTTTGCATGTTCTGGTCTTATGGCTTTCACTGTAAGGTATTGTCTTATTTTGAGTTGAGTGTCTCAGGGCAGATTAATGAAAACACTGTTCTTGTGAAAACAAACCGATTGTCCTGGCAATATGTCAACGTGTGCTGTTCGAACGTCCCATCAGTCAAGACTTTTCTCAAGTTTTCCTGCTGGCATTTTGTCCTGTAGTGTCATTTGTGGAGTGATACCAAAAGCAACCACCGACATCTGTCACAATACTCTTTCTTTTGTCCTTTCAGCAGACCAAAACAGAGTCTAAAAAGCATCACAGATGAGACCGAATTAGAATACGATTAATACTCAATGTTTCAATGTCTATTTCCTCATGATTATTCACAGGCGAGCTACAGCGCATCTTGAATCCATGTGTTACTGAATGCTAGATTAATCTCATTACATACAATCTATGTGGAGCTACTTAAGATTGCGAGGAATCTTGAGGAAAGAGAAACTACAGGAATGGAAGAAACATTTGACAGAGGTGATGCACAGTGATAAGCAGAATTACAAATCCGTTGCAATGCTACATTTCTAGAAAAGTTATCTATTCTTGGAAAAAGTTTGGTTAAAAAAAATTCACATATTTTCGCTCGGATAGAGGGAAGCACATTTGTGTCATGAGAACAGCTATATAAAAGAAAAATTGGAGAAGTCTCTAAGGCTTTGTGCTTTACAGATATAACTGCAACCATCCAACCTTACAAACCTGTCAATCTTAGCGGTATATATATATATATATATATATACACACAAAACCGTTCAAACGTCTGGGGTCAGAAACGTCTTTTTGAAAGAAATGAATACTTTTATTCAGCCAGGATGCATTCAATTGATAAAAAGTGGAAGATTTATAATTTTATAAAACATTTCCATTTGAAATAATCTTGTTCTTTTGAACTTCTGTTCATCAAAACATCCTTAAAAATATTTGCTCAAAAATATTAAGCAGCACAACTGTTTTCAACATCAATAATGAGAAGAAATGTTTCTTGAGCAGCAAATCGGCATTTTAATGAATATTTCTGAAGGATCATGTGACACTCAAGACTAATGATGTACGAGTAATGATGCTGAATTTTAAAATATATTCAAACAGAAAACAATTATTTTAAATTGCAATAATATTTCACAATATTAGAGTTTTTACTGTATTTTTGATCAAATAAATGCAGCCTGGGTGAGAATAAGAGACTTCTTTCAAAAACGTAAACAAATCTTAGACCCCAAACTTTTGAACTGTCGTGTGTGTGTATAATCTCTAATTTCTTCTCATTCATTGGATTCATCTGCATTACAACCCTGCAATCCATAATTTATTCATCTAATATTGGTTATTCAACAATCTTCTACCAATAATGACAATAATATAGTTATTAATCATAAAGAGTAACCAGTCAGAGTAAAAGTCCATAAACTTAGAGATGATGAAAAGCTGAAAAACTCGAAGCCCTTTGTATTCGCCCCCAGTCTCAGGCTGATGATGTCACAGTTCCCGGTGCCAAAATGATGATGTTCTAGTGCAATTTCAGCATACTCAGTGGGTCCCAGTGGCCTGATCTACAGGCGGTCGGCGTGGAGCTGATGAGGAGGGATCTGGATGAAGGCTGTGCTGGGGCCGCCTCCGATGGAGGGGAGGGCTGTGGGGACCGGGGTGTTTGTGGCGGAGGAGGGCCCGGGGGTGCCTGGAGGGTACATGTAGCTCAGGAAGCCTGGCGAGGGGGCGTAGGGATACTGCTCGAAGGCTGAGGAGGCATACTGAGTGTAGGCAGTGCTGAAGTCAAGGTAAGGGGTCGTGGCGTTGGAGGTGACCTGTGCGGGCAGAACCAGACTGGGTTGCAGGAAGGCCTGAGGGTAAACATACGGCTGGCTGAGTCTGCAAAGACAAACAGAGAGAGAGAAAGAGAAAGAGAGAGAGTTGACTATTAACAGATTATCAGATCACAAAGGCAGCAATTTAAGTAATTAAATATACGTGCTGTGTGTTTCATAGCGAAGCACAGCACTGTGTTCATTTACACATGAGCAGCTCATGATCTGGTGGTTTTAGCGTCTCTTGTCACAGTAAATAATGCTCCATACAAACTGCATCGCTGCGTCTGCTCGGAGTTATTAATGTGAGTTGCTCGGAGCTGCTTTAATGTGAATTTGCTGCAGCCATCTTCCCAAACTGATCACTTATCAAAAGAAGAGAAGCTTTGGGTCTCTCTGCGTTTTTCTTTTTTTTTCTCCATCAAAATAAGTTTCATGGTTTAAGGTTTATAAATGAATCAAGACATAAATATTAGTATTGTAATTTTACAGTTGCAATGTAAAATAAAAATGAGTATTATATTATTTTTCTTAAATACTCACTTTTCAGTGAAATAATACAATAGGTATATTTTTTATTTTGTTTTTAATAATAATAATAATTTTGCAAAGTTGTGCAACACTACAAACAAGCACAGCAAACCTGTTTTTTTTCTCTACATTTTACAGTTGTAATGTAAAATATTATATTATTTTTTCTTAAACTATTTTTTATTTTACAGTGAAATATGACAATAGTAATATTTCTTTTTTGTTTTCATTTAGTAGTAGTAGTAATGAAAATATAAAACCATTAATAATAATGATATATTATATTTTTTTACAGTTTAGTGTATACAGCACTCATTGCTAGAGTACATTTATGATACACATACATATATAAGTCATTGCATATACTGTATATCAATTATAGTTGCTATACTATATAGTTACTCATTGACAAATAAAATATGGGCTCTTCGTATCATAGTAAACTTCTACAGAAAAGTCATGTAGTTTCTTACTAAGAGTTTTATATATATATACACACACACACACCCACACACACACACACACACACACATACAGTTGGTATAGGAAAGGGTTAAAGCTTAACTCA